CAAAACTGCATGCTTGCTTAAAAGTAAATACACATACTTTAAAAATGAAGTTTAAGAGATAAATAACCAGTAGGTCCCAAGCAAACGCATAGTTTGATTTGCTTGGAAGTACTCCTCCACTTAATGTAATGGCCTATTTGTCAAGATGTACCCTGGTTTATGTTTATATTTTTGCATCAACTTTTATATCCTTATCAGTAAAATCAAATACACTGAAACCATTTCTAGTCAAAGGCAAAACATACCAGTGGAAAACAACACTGCAGCTGCAGGAAAATTCCAGGAGAGATGGAGGCAACCAGAAAGCTCTGCAGATGCATGGGCTATGCATTACCGTATGACCAGATTTGCTGACTTTACAGGTATGAGATAAACATGGTATAATACCTCATCTAAAATACTCCTTTCTACTCTGACAAAACATGCGGAGTGTATGGCTATAAAATTCACTTTAAAATGTTTCAAACTGCGTACAAATAAATATTTACATGTGCATATATACATAGTGCCAAACAGCATACAGTACTCTCTTCTGCTTTTACCACATAAACTTCATGGAAAAGAAAAGTAATTTTAAGTATTACAGAATTATAATGGGGCTTTCTCTTGTCTTGTCAGAGCTAAGGAAAGCTGCCATTATATGGCATTACACAGGCCACCCGAGCTCTGGTGCTGGAGCCAGCAGAACCTCACACGCACAGACATCAGGCTGCGTTTCTGTGCTTGTATCTGTGAGTTGAGACAGAATTAAAATCACTTAGCTAATCGCACTTGTAAATCAGATCCTACAGATCTCTAAGGGCCATAAACTTTGCCAGCAAAGTCACTGACAGAATCTCTGGCTCTAAAGCTAAGGTAAGTTTTGGCTGTTTCTCATATATTATTAAAGGACCGGTCAGGAGCCAGTGAAAAATCTATACGATGCAAATGCTTACTTGCCCATGTCAGCCTAGACCCACACCGAGTAATGGAACTTTTACACTGAGGTACCAAAAAACCTGCAGTTCTCAGCTTTTTATGCTACTTGCTCTCTTTAATCCCTGTGCTAATATGCAAATATTGATTGCTTAAGGTAGAAATGCCGATAACCCGAAGTTGTGACATCCCTCCAGGAGATCAACACACCACTGCCCAGAGGACGTACTGGCTTTGGTGGCCTGGGCTTCTCAGGAAGGAGAGATTTCTTAGCAATACACGAAGGGGCAGAGATCTGCAGGAGGGAGCTGCCCTGGCCCACAAGGTAATCGATGGCAAACATGCAATGAGCAACTGTTGCCCCTTAAGGGGAACTTCAGCTGATACACTAAACAGCAGGTCAGAAACTTAACTTGTGCTTTGCACGCTACTATCCATCACTAGATTTTAGACTTTTTTTCCTGCTTTCCCATAATTATGCAGCTGTGGTTATGTGGTATTATTACACTAACTGAATAATAAAAAAGCAATTACAAAAATAGCACATAAGGAAAAAAAATATGTTTCCCACATCTTTCCACTTCAAAAGCATCACTGCCAATGTCGCCTAATAACAACAGATGATTTCCTTACTAGCTTCTTGGTCATAATCCTTACTTATATAAACTACTGCAAGCGAGTCCATGTCACTCTGAAAGCTCCAGCAAATGTGGGTCTCAAGAAAAAGCCTGAGGTGAGACACGCACTGACACAAGGGTGCCGGACACCGCTGCCCCTGCAAGGGGCCAGGCTACGAGCGAGTGTACTGCACCGTGCTGTATTTGGTGACCCTGGAAGACTTGCTCAGCGTGGCGCTGGCAGAAGACGTCCCCTCTATATTGGAGCCCCCCTGGTTAAGCAAGGAGTCTGTGATCAACGCATGCTCTTGCCTTCCCGAGCCAGCACCCACCGCCTCTTCGGCTCTGCCCTGCATCCCTGAGGCTGTCACCACCCTTTCGTTCACCACCACGCTGCGCCCCTCCGCCACCGCGGGGAAGCTGAGCGAGCCCTGCTCTGCAGCAGGCACAAGCACCCTCTCCCGCTCCCTCACCACGACATACTGGGAGTCAGGGAGATCCTGAACCATCAGGGCTCCTGCTCTGGCGCCCTCTGACTTCACCATCCTCTCTGTAACCACCACATTACTTCCGTGCGGCAAGTCGGGGATTTCCACCATACCCTGCAAGCTCGACGCGGGTGCCAGCACTCTCTCTGTCACTACTACGTTCTCCTTAAACTGGGGCTCTAGAAAGCGAACGGCTGAGTAGTCGGGAGCCCCCGCAGAGTAGGATGTTTCCATCACGGTGAAATTGGTCTCTGCATGGGCTGTGGGAAGGGACTGGTTGCCGTGCTGCCCAGACCGGGATGCAAAGGTTGTTTCTGTGACGACCTCCTTGGACACCGTGTCTTCCCCTGCACCTCTGCCCGTGTACACTGGTGGGGTGGGCTGGAAGCGGCTGCCTGAGGCAAAGGCTTGTTCAGAGCTGGAAGCATTTTGCTGATCTAAGAACCGTGACTTGGTGTCATTAAGACCGAAACCTGATTCATTCCTGGAGCTACCATCTTTCATGTTGATTTGTCTGCCTATGCATATTTCTGCTAGAGTCTTAAATTTGTCTCCTAAATCATCAAGGAAATGGTCATCAAGATCACCCTCAATAAAGCTGCAGCAGCCGACAGAGCCATGAGGGGAGCCTGACTCTCCCTGGGAATAAACGAGGAGACAGTCGCTTGCAGCTTGGGCTTCATCTTCGTCCGCGAAAGAGATAGCTTTCTACAGATAGAAAACAAAAGCAAGCAAAAGTTCATTAATGGCAATTCTAAACATAGTAAATTTGAAAATCAAACCTTGGTCAAAAAGGTTAAAATAAGAAAATTTAACTGAACCCACAGCAACTGTCAACGAACCAAGGGCAGCACCTAAAAGTGCTTTTTTGAAGTTAGTCTGAGCTTGGCAGTACACTTGATGAGAAGAAAAACACAGGGTGCTCTGGGATTACATTGAAAACCTTGGGTACTATACCCATCTGCTGCTATTCCTACCAGATAGCCATTTGTGATACCACTCCGCCCTCACAAAGAGATTGCTTTTACTTTGGTTCAGTGAATGAACTTCACCTGTAACTAGGTGTTGGCGGGAGAGTGCCAAAGCCATGCCCGAGAGTACCCTAACATGTAAATGCACATTCAATGAGTACATGCTGACATATCATCACCTGCCATGGCCCTTTCCACTAGCACAGCCTGCGGGATCACACCCAAGGAGCTCAACAGCAAACAAATCACCAAGTTAAATTGTTTGATAAGTATGGTAACATAGCCCAGCACACAGATTTTTAGGCTCTATTCAGACCACTTTGCAACAAGGAGGTCTCAGGGCTTCTGACTACAGAACTTCCACGGCCAGCTCAGTCTGAAAGCAGCACCTGCAATGGATTGCTGTCAGTGCACAAATATCTGTGTACGTGCTTGCACCAGCTCCAGGGGTGAAGACAGCCAAATCCTCTGGGCCTGCTGAACCAGCTTTACCTAATACAGTTGCTGGCTTGTGCTCAGAACCACTTTTCTGCCACATCTGAAATTCCAGAGTGCATTTAGCTCAGGCATCTGTGTAATGTGGTATATGTCCAGACCCAAGCTGACTCTGTATGTTTATCTGCGTTTGATCCTGGAACTAGGCACATTACCTGAGATGCTTCTGCAAAAATCAGCACACATCTGAAACTATGTGGCTTGGTTACTTGTCTGGGGTTAATTTTTTCCTATAATCTGAGATATTTTAGTCTCCCAGAAGTTGTAAAGAGTACTGTAGTATGACCTTTACTAAGTGCTCGTGCAGGACTTCAGCAGGCAGCTATGCTTAAAGCATGCCTTAATAATTAGGGAGCTCAAAGAGCGGAAGGAAAGCAGAATTGCTGCTGTTGCATCTGTTCACCCAGCGGACCAGTAGCTACAGCACTCACGAGCCATACAAGTGTCTTAAGCTCAAATCCTTCCCTGGCCTGAAGTGGTGATTCGAAGCTGCACAGCTACTCCCCTGCAGGACCCCACCATCAGCCAGCTGTAGGGTGTGAAGATATTTTGTTTGTACAGGTGATGGACAATCTGTACATTCCCTGGCATATGGAAGTGAAACTTCTACTATAAGGAGCTCACCAGCCTAAGGACTAATGATGCATTATGCAAAGAGGAATAGCTGCAAGGAGTAGGAATAGCTATTGGTCAATGTTTAGGTCACACACACACACACACACAAAAAAAAAAAAGTCAGAAAGGGGATTGCAACATGTGCCTCATACACTTCTGATGAATGGCCCTTTACCCAGGCTATTGGGCAAAGAGACAAGTGCAGCACCGCTTCCTTCATCAGCTACTTTGAAAATGCAGACCCACCTACTGTCTGACATCTACAGCTTATCTTTCAAAAGCCTGCTCCATTATAAAGTTTGTAGCTGTGACTCATGATGAATCATAGGTACCTCCCTACAGGCCAGTTTAATGTGCTTAAATCCCTGAGATATATATCACATAGTCTTTCTCATGGCTGCTTCCTGGGCAAGAGGATCCTTGGTCATTGTTGAATATTCTGGATCCCATTCCCAAGTACGTCCCGCAAGGGAAGGGTCTTGTTGTGGGAGATCTTGTTAGCACTCAGTGCCACAAGACTGACCATTGTCATGCTCTAAGTCCCACATGTGAGCCTAACCCAAAAATCCTTAATGCCCCCACTCCACATGCACACAACATTGGCCATTGCATCAGGACTGTTTATATACACATATCTACACATCTGTGTTTGCAATAACATGAGTGGCATCTCACAATGCTAAGTGTAAATATCAAAATACTGTTATTTTCGGGTCATATGCTTACATCATTGAAGTAGTCTCTTAAAAATTCTTCATTCATGGCTCCTGCTGCTCCCACTGTGACTCCTCCTCCAGCCACCACTGTCTTGCCTTCCATACCTGCCATGCCTTCAACCCCTCCAGCTGCCATGGTTCCATATTCAGCACCAGAAAGGAGATGTCTTTGCTCTTCCCATCTTTCCTTGGTGATCATGCTGTGATGCTCTCTCACATGAGAGGCAGAGCTGCCTCCTCCTGCCGCAGTTTCCTCTCCACTCACTCCTGCTCCTGCTGCTGTCCTGCTGCTGTGGCCCCTGCTGTCCCCGCTGCCGCTGCTGCTCCGCCGGTCGCTCCTTTTGAGTTCCCCAGCGCGGTGGCTGAGATGAGGCTTAGCACTGACTACATAAATAACACAAATTAAGATGTGACATGAAAGCTGCACTGTCTAGCACATGGAACTCACCAAACCAGCAGTAAGGCTGGGTGGGACCTGGGAGGGTACTGTCTTATGACTTGTTCAAATTCGCACTTATACATGTTGCTGCAAGGAGTAAATGGCCTCCTGAAATAGGGTGCAGCTTCCACAACCGCTTTCCCAAGGAGGAGCATGGAAATTTTTCTATAGATCATTGTTTTCTTGAAACTCAAAGGGTTGGGAGTGAAAGCGGGAGAAAGAAACCCCACAAAAAAAAAAAGGCTTGCAAAACTCCAGGGAGCTGAGCTGTTCTAAGAAAGACTCTGCCCAGCTTTCCTCAGACACAGAACAGGGGAGTGTGCACTGCCTGCTGCCTCTATGGTGCTGCCTGGCCCTTTCTTCTTTTTTTTTGGCTTCCCTGTTAATTGTCTTTTAACAAGAATTTGGTGTGAGCATTGGCCCTAAATCAAAGTCTTTTATCTTACTTCTTTGTTATTGTGCAAAAGCATGCCAGTGTCATGCCCTTTTTTTGCAAACTGAGTTTTGTAGCATAACAAGAAAGGTCAAACTTCTCTTGGCATTCACAGTTCCCTCTGCATATTTGCACTTTTTTCTGCCCTTTTTTTCTTTAATTAAGAATTTCCTCTGTTTAAGAAGGCAAATACACAGGGAAGTCATTTAAAATGCAGCATGAAACTTTAAACTAGTGAGGAGAAGCTAAGTTTCATAACCCATTCTTTAGCTGCTTTACCATGCTACCAAAGGGGTGCAGAACATTCCAGGCTTGCAAATGCAAATGCTTCACTCTTCACAGCATCCATGCTTTTCCCACACTCCTATCTTCTGCTCAGATACCATCAACATTTGCTTGATTGCTTTCCCTTTACTTTGGGGTTTAAACAACATGGTTGTTTTTTCTAGAGCTGCTGGTGGAATTCATCTTCCATGCATCCTTCACTGAGCCTCACAGGGTTAATTTTAATTAATGTTCATGTGCGGTTAAAATCTGCTGTACAGCTTTGAAACATCAGCCCGTAACGTGGAACAAGCGCCAAGTGCCAAACTGAACACTTGGATAGAAATCAAAGAGAAATGCTATTAGGGATACATGCCTTCTCCTCAGGAGCTGCCCCTTCGCTGTTCCACTGACGCAACATCGCTTCGCTGTAGTCCGATATCACAGCAAATCCCTTCGCTCTCGAGCCACAGGGACACAGCAGCAGTAACAGTGGAATAACTACGGGGAAACAGAAGTTTGCCATTAACTATGTGATGATTAAGGTCAAAGGATGCGAAAAGCCAGTACCAAACTTTGGTCAGCTCTCAGACCAAAATGTGTCTTTAGTGAGGTAGTGATCAGTATGAGGGCTGATAAGGACTGAAGACACGTTTCCAAATCTTCAAGGTATTTCCTAGAAACAGATGCCAGGATGGTTTCCTAGAGAATAAACTGACAATTAACCTGTCAGGGCCTCAACCCTGCAGATGACCACGCATGTATCTAGCTATACTTCCACTGAAGATCTCATATACCTAAACCAAGCCCTAAGTATCACTGTACGACCTCAGCATTTCTAACACCTCCTGTTCTTTTACTACTAGATAACGACATGACATCATGTAAATTCCACCTCACCACTCCTGTGACACGTCTAGAGCGTTGCCTGGGGAACTCAAAACAAACCAGTTTCAGGAGCAGAGCATATTCCTGTGGCATGAACTTTGTTTTGCCACAGCTAGGTTGCTACTAGTACAAACAATAAACTATTGCCATTTTAAAAACAGCACTGGTACACATGGTGATGCCCTGACTACAAGCATTCTTCTGTTTTTGAGCCTCTGTTTTGTCTTACCAAAGAAAAATCATCACGTGCTGCTCAAAGCAAGACACCAGACCTGGGTCTGCGGTGAGGGAGAAGAGAGTGGAGAGAGCGCTGCGGTTTGAGTGGGAAGAGTTAGGGTTCACACGGGGAGGTGTGGGAAACAGCGAAAGGATTCCTTACTGCTTCCCCACCTGTTATTTACAATACCATAAACAAATATTAAAGTTGTACATATTAATTTTAAAATGCACAGCTTGAAATCCTTTGAGGGTGAGATGCTGATGTTACCAAAATTAGCTGGGGATTTGCCATTCACACATACTAGGAGATTACACAGAGTATATCAAGATGATAAAACCTGGGAGCTGGACTGTTTCTTTCCTGATGCCTTGCAGACCATATTTACAGTGCTTCTGAGATAATATGAAACAATTACTTACGCAGCAAAAGTAAAAATGCCAAGATGATTAGTGCAATTGCTCCTGGTCCCAGACCCACAGACTTAGTGCCAACAATCTTCTCTTTGCATACGCCGTCACCCGTACACTTACAAACAGTCAGTTGTAGAGACTGTGTTTGACCACAGCTCAACCCTTGGAAATCCTTTATCAGGAGGGGAACTTCAGTTCTGCCCAGCTTCAGGTTTTGTGGTACCAGCTGTATGCTGGTGCCTGAGGCAGGAGGAGGAGGTTAAAGAAAAAGAAAGGCAAACAAGAAATGAGTAGTGAGAAAGTTGACTCCTGTAAACTAAGGGAAATAAAACCATCACAGCCTCCCAACAAGCCCCCTCCAGTTAAGTCCAGCCAATGCAACACAATTAAGTTAAATTAGCTACTGCTACAGCATATGTGCTCTTATTTTTATCAAGTAATTCATGCTGGTAACAAAGCAGCCATGCTCACTTGCAGTCTCAGATAATTGCGAAGAGTTTCACACCAGCAGAGACTTATCGTGGAAGACAGCCCAACCCCCTCTATAGCGTTAACCTTCACGTCGTCCAGATAGCCAAAGGCTGAATTCACAAAAAAACAGCTGCAGTCTTTAGGAGATTCATCTGTTGAAGGCCACAGGCAGAGACTGGGCAGCCAACACACGACCTGCTCCTGTAGCCATGTCATGTCAAGGACACAAGTAGGCAAGAGACGCCCAGATGATGCTCCCAGCTGGGAACGCCACCCTGTTTGGGTGATCCCTACAATTACTGCTAGTCTGGCTACAAACGGGGTGAGAAAAGGTAAGAAGATTTCTTCTTGGTCCTAAACCTGGCCATTAGGATGACTCTGCTGATTGCTTTGCAGAGTTATACTGTAGGATTATGGGTAACAGAATGAGTCTGAGAAGAAAAAATGCCTTCAAGCTACCTGAAGCATCTCCTTCAAGCATTTCCTAGGCTTCTATGAACAGAAATGTAAGAAGAAAATGCTCATTAAAATTATTTACGATTTATGACTTATTTTTGTTCCTATCATGCTGGATAATCTCAGGTTACATTGTATTTCCCCTTTTCAAGATCCACTATGCAGGCAGGTTGATTCGTTTGTTTATTTTTAAGTTAGGGAAACTGCAGCCAGTAACACAAACATATCTCCAAAGTCAGTTCTAACAAAAAGCATCCTTCATCACTGTATGCTTTTTGTGGCAAGATGGGAATGGCTGGATCCCAGCATCACCCACAAAATCCTGGTGACCACATATGGGTCATCAAGCTAGGCAAGGACAGTCCAACTGAGGGGAGGTGACAGGCCCTAGAAGACATGAGTGTGCTTTTATAGCCATTAGAGAGAAGGGAGCACAACCAAAGTGATGTGTCTTCATGCATAACTCCATATATATATATATATATATACACACACACACACATATATATATATGGGATTTTTAAGTCTGGATCAGCCAAACTGTCAGTTTGACTGGAACTAAATCACAACACTAGGACTCCAAAGAACTGAAAGTAATTAAAAACATATTTTCTTACCATTTTCAGATGCAATTATCCAATTTTTTGCTGTTCCTTCTGGTTGATCAATGACAGTAAAGCTGAAGGGATCACTGTTTGGGTAACCATCCAAATCATTAGCTGTAACATTAACTAATTTTGCATCTGAACACACAGTCTGCACAGCATTCACAATAAATGGGCAGTTATCATTCTCATCTTTAACTTGAATAACGACTGTGCCGGTGATCGTTTTCCTAGGAACATCTAAGATTTTAAAATATGAAAAATTAAATTGATTTGAAAAGTGCAAAAAATTTCTTCTTAAAATAAAAACACTTACTATTTCCCCAAACACAAACATTTCCGACATAAGTTAAAGAATCTCTCCCTGGAGTTTATGGGAGCAATATTTCATTCCTAATGTTAATAAACGTACTGGCAAAGTTCTTCTGAAGGCAAGCTGTCTTACTATTTTGACTTAAAAAACCCAACGTATTTCCTGTGTATGGTTACACAATAACATGCAGATTATAAAAGAATTTTAATTAGATACACAAGAAGTTTAGGGAGTCTTTCTTGCTTAGCATTCAAAGAAAACTTAGGACTCTGAAGTATGCTGATTAGCGTACTGAGATACTGGCAATTTCCACCTTGACAAGCTATGTTCCTATCAAACTTGGTCTTTGCAAAACTTTTACAAAAATTTCACCTGCATCTAGTCAGGGAAACGGGCACCTTGGGAACCCATTCCAAGGTTCATCCTATTTTAACAAGTTGCCCATGTCTCTCCTCCAAATACAGAGCCTATGGGAAACTGCACTAGGCACCTAACTGTTAGCCAGTTAAAGATAGGGAGGTTAAACCAATCAGAGTTACAGAAAGGCAAACTAAACCCTAAACAAACCAATTAGTGTGAAAACAAAACCCTCTCAACTTACCAGTAGTTACACCCAACACGGTGATAGTGTAGGTACCATTTACTACATGAGACGATTCGTAATCGAGTTGTTTGGCAAGTCGGATTTCAGCTGTGACTGTGTCTACTGTGATCCAGTTTGCTGTATCTCTTCCTTTCATGTATCTGAACAAAATTGCATATAAAGACGTACACATTTATAATGAGGAACACAACCATCAGTGCAAAAAGCAGCTTCACGGTACGTTTACTCTTCATTTAAGCAGAGACCAAATCCCTAGGTGTGAGGTCTGATGATCCCGCCGCTGGAATTGTTTTCTACTCTAAAACTAAGATTATAAACCTCCCCTGAACGCTGCAACCTGCTTTTCCCTCTGCAGTCAGCATTTAGGTGTGGAGGCATTATAAAAAGTAAACTCAGGGAGTGAGACCGGAGCAGGAGAGAGAGCTGCTGGTTGTGGTCCTCCTTCCCTCCATCCCTGCTCCCAGCAAAATCTGAGCAGCAGCCACCTGGGAGAGACTGTATTACAGGTGTGGGGGAGAGGGGTCCTCCACTGGGTGCTGCTCTGCACCACCTGTAAAAGCCACGGTGGTGATTCAACAACATTTTAGCTGAAGATTCAAAAATCTAAATGCACAAATGCACACACAGCCTCATCTACTCTACACCCTTTCTGTCCCACTGTTAGATGTTTCTGCCTATTTCTCCCTAACATTTCTGCAGACGATGAAGTCAGACGAGTAAATCAGCCCTCAAAAGTAAACAGGCGTGACAAAAAGCGTGCAAGCACGGACAACTTCAGCCCAAACACTCACGTCTCACCATATATGACCAAACAATCAGGCTTTTCAAGTCAGCTATTTTCTGCATAATACAATATTGACGATGATGTTGCTTTAGGTGTAAATTATGTAACTGCTTTTGAAATTATTTCAGTTCCATATATATATTTTTACAATAAGATGTGATTTCTGACATAGTTATTATGGCTATAAAAAGATTCTTACACAATGCGCTCTGCTATTTTTCCAGTGTCTTCATCATAGGCTTGATACTGTCCAATAACTTGTCTTATCTGTAGGTTCTCACTTGCTTCAATAATTTTTGTGCCACCAGGGAATATAGGGCCTTCCTGCACATTAACCACATGAACTCTGATTGGAATTCTTTGTGCTTTATAACTGTGTTTAATTGACTTGTGGAATTCTGCTTTGTTTGTAACAACAAAGCCCAAGTGCAGGCTTTGCATTTTTTCATAATCCAGCTCCTAGAGTAATTTAAAAAGAAAAAAAAATTCACTCAGAATTTGACAGAATCTTATATCTAGACAACATTCATACATTTAATATTGAAATAATACTGTTTAAATAATACTATAGCATCCTTATTTAAGTAGTAAGTAATAAAGTGCAAAGAAGAACTGTTGGTTAACATGTTACTCCCAATACATAATGCTTCAACTCTTTATAAAAAGTACATAAGGAAGATTATTCTTAACGGATGGTACCACAGGTATGTCTTTATATTACTGAATTTAAACCAATTTAAGGTAGGTGAAATGACTCATACCCATATATTCTGTCTTTACTTTCAGTGAATCAGTGCTCAATATTACTTGGCTCTTCCAATTTTTATTTTTATTTTTATTTTAAACAATTCATTTACTTAATAATGCTTATCAATTTTTTACAATTATCAGTTTTCAGATAAGGAAACCAGAGCAGGGGAAAAAAAAAAAGAAAAAAGGTACTTAGGATGCTATGCATCTTCAGTTCTTGTGGACTAAAGGGGAGTGAAATTAATAAAATAGATATTTCCCTTTATGGAAAATATTTTCATGCTTTCAATTTATGAAAATTCATAAAATAGTCTGTAGCCTATGGCTCATGGAGTAGGCGTTGCCTGAAACATTATCTGTGGCCATGGGAAATAAAGAAATTTAAACTGAGACCAGCAAGGAGAGCAAAAATATGGGAAAGTTTACAGCGTATGCATTAGCACTGTTGCCTGACAAGGAAAGTTTGGGGACTTCTGCCCCACTATATTTAAGATCACACAGAACGTAAGCGGTAAAGCTAGACAAAATTATTATTTTGCATGGAATTACTGAATGCCCCAACAAAGAATATGCCAAAGGAGGAGCGTCCACCATGTAAATTTACAGTTTACATACTGACTGAATATAAATATATATGTCAAATTAAAGGGAATAAATTATTCTAATATTTAAAGAAGACTCTCTAAAGAATATACTAACCTTCACAACAGTCAAAATTCCTTCATTTGTTCGGTTATCTGTTACTATATGAAAAAAGCCGCCTTCATTACCAGAAACAAATGAAAAGTTCGCCAACCAGTTATCAGAAAACTCTTCATCTTTGTCAATTACTTTTATTCGCAGAATTTCCACATTTGCTTTGTTTTCTTCGATGCTTACTTCAAACTGCAATACAAAAACACCCTTCTTTAAAAAGGTGTCATCATTTACCTCATTTCACCAGTGCAAGAAAGTTTGCACAACCTCGTATGAAGCAATACTGTCATAAATGTACTTACTGCGCTATTTTCAACCACAGGCACATTGTCATTGACATCCAAAATCTTGATTTCTAAAGATGATGTTGCAGCATTCCCATCTGAAGCACCATCACGGTCTTTTGCTTCCACCACTAAAGAATAGCTACTTTGTGTCTGTCACAATAAGAAAAAAACGTTTAAACCAGGCTACAAATTTTTCCTTTCCTGTATTATCCTTATTAGATTTTGGTAATCCCTCTCGTGGCCACCTATAGCTCCTCTTATCTCTAGCTAGTAGCAAATCTCACACACAACTATCTTGACAGGCTCTGCTGGAGTGAAGCTGAGGCTTTCAAAAGGATTTGGTACTTTTGCATCTCCCCCACAAAGTGTTAGATTGTACTTACATAGAAAATGAAAAAAAATCCAGTGGCCAGTGATTCCTGCAAGTCAGGACAGGGCTAGAGGCAGAGACGCTGCCCTCAGCTGCAGAGAGCTAACATCCAGATCTCCATCTGCTGGCCAGTGAAAATTCATGCAAGCACAGGTAAAGTTGCTAGAAATACGTGGCTTTCAATGCTGCTTCTCAGCAACACACTTCCTAACTCTCTGCACTGTCGATTTGCGTAGCATACTACAAAAATTTACACACAGCCAGCAGCTTTGCAGACGGTGATCTAGGCTGTCTGTGCCATATGCTCTCCAGCACAGAGGGCCATGAGGTTGATCAGAGGGCTGGAGCACCTCTCCTATGAGGACAGGCTGAGAGTTGGGGTGGTTCAGCCTGGAAAAGAGAAGGCTCCAAGGAGACCTTAGTGCAGCTCTCCAGTACCTGAAGGGGCCTACAGGAAAGCTGGAGAGGGACTGTTTATCAGGGAGTGTAGTGACAGGACAAGGGGTAATGGGTTTAAGCTGAGAGAGGGTCGATTTAGATTAGATATTAGGAAGAAATTCTTTACTGTGAGGGTGGTGAGGCATTGGAACAGGTTGCCCTGAGAAGTTGTGGAGGCCCCATCCCTGGAAGTGTTCAAGGCCAGGTTGGATGTGGCTTTGGGCAACCTGGGCTAGTGGAGGGTGTCCCTGCCCATGGCAGGGAGTTTGGAACTAGATGATCTTTAGGGTCCCTTCCAACCCAAACCATTCTGTGATTCTGTGATTCTATGAAATGACCCCTTGCTTCACGTATCTGCTGCCCTGGCTGCACGGGAGGGACAGAAAGCAACAGCCATCGGGCCGGTGCTGTGCTAGAGAGGTGACAGGGGGAATACAAGCTTGACCCTGCACACCCCCACACCCCCCCAATCCCCGAAAGACATGCATCAGCCAGACAAGGCTTAAATCCTAAGGGAGGTGAAGGAAGGCAAAAGGGCCAGCTCTCCAACCCAGCAGGCAGAGCTGAAGGTAACACAACAGGCATCAGAAGACTGCTGTTAACAGATAAAAAATGGGATGGGTTTTTTACCTCTCTGTCAAGGTTTATTTTTGCTACTCGAACCTCGCCAGTATGCTTATCTATACTGAATGCAGCACTAGGGCTTTGGGAAAGGATCTTGAAAGCAATTTTGGAATTTGGGTTATTTGGTTCATCTGCATCTGTTGCATTTATCCTCATTACAATTGTACCTGGAAAAAAGCAAGCAAAACATAGTATGTTTACACTGCCATGAACTGCTAAGTATTTTTACTGTAATGTCACAGATTGAGAGACTGTTGTCAGATGCACCGCACAATTTTCTGATGCTCCTGCCATTATTTATTTAATGAATAGAGCTAAAGAAATGTTCCTAAAACCCAAATAGTACATGTTAACGGTATATCCTCCAGCAAACAAGAAGACTGTATCCACACATCTGTAACTCATAGAATTCAATGCACCAGCATCACAGAGCAGGTTGAATTCTCTCAAAAATTCTGACAGAAAGCTGTAGATAAAAGAAAAGAAGTTTTTGAACAACAAGCTGCATTTCCCTCACACATTACTCTAAAGGGAACACTATTAACTCCTCTGCCTGAATGTTACTAAAACAATTGCTCTGTACTGATGCCCTCCAACACCTTCACTCAAAATCCATGGCGGTCCCCATGGTGCAATCCCCTTACAACTCATGGCACAGGATTTTGTCCTCTGGGAAAGGGTATACCTCAGCGTCCAGTGCCTGAATTTGAACATTAGCTGGAATTCAGGCAAAGAAGCAATTACCATATGGCTGCTACTGACTTGAAAGAGAGCTGAGGGAACTCAATACCTCACCCAAGTGAGTCAGTAATTTATTTCTTCAGATTATCGTGATATTGAAAGGGACACAATGTCAGGTATTTATTAGGCTGTTTTACTCCAGCTCTTCTTATCTTCTGGGAAATAATCTGTTGCTCTTATGTTTACTGACATCAATAGGAAAACTGCCACTAACTTGTTCTTTGAGGATTAGGTCACAGCCATATGTGCTTAACAGCGAAGCACCTCTCCAGCCCATAGATAAAGCAGGGCTTTTCATGAGCATGGCAGAGTGGAGTCCCTCCCAGATGGGCTGGGATTGCTAGGGCAGAAGGTGGACTGCATTTCCCCTGCAATTCTTGCTGCTCCCTGGATTTGTGGTAGCTTTGACACCAAACCAAAGATGCCGTAAGAGGAAGTGTTGGTCTCCGTTGCCCTTACGTGGTCGCTTTCCCGTCATCACATCACACAGCTTAGGCCTGAATAAAAACTTGCATTCACATGTGGATAACCTGGCCTACACAAGCAAGAGAATGCATCCTTGTTACTGTAGACATGCTGCTGCAAAGAGTATGTTCACTTGTGCCCTTGCATGTGTTGGGAAAAGCTAAATGAAAAAAAAATATTTTAAAAATAAGTTACCTGTTTCACTTAATTCTTCAATTGAACCAAAAAAGGTTTCATGTGAAAACACTGGAGAATTGTCATTTCTGTCCAGGACTTTAATTGGGAGGTCTATTGGCTCTTCCAGTTTTGCTCCAGTCTTATCTAGTGCGTGACCTCTGAGCTGAAATAATACAGACAGAAACAATAAGCAATGAGTGACTGTAATATATATAAATACATATGCAAAATAGAAATATATATATAACAAAATCTAAGCATTATATAAGCATATAAATATAAGCATACATGCACACACACAAGTATCTGGAAACTAGATTAAAACTAATTGAAGCAAACACATTTGAACAAAATAAACAAAAAATGGATAGAAGGGCACCTATAAGGAAAAAGTTACTATTCAACTTACAAGCAGAATTGGAGTCTTTTCTCTGTCAACTATTCCTGTTATGTTCAGGTCTCCAGTCTTTCCATTGATAACAAATAATCCATAAGGGGGTTCTGTTACTCCTTGACCGGATATAGTATAAGTCACCACTATCCCTGTATCTTCCAGATCAGAATGTATCTAGCAAGAATGTAACAGGTTAAATACCGTTCGGTAAATAAAACCACATTTAAAAATTCAAATAAAATATTTTTGCCATTTTTGTAATGAACAAACAAAAATAAATATTAAACACGTGTTTTCCCGCATTGCTTTTTGTGTGGAGATGTTGAGATGAATGCAGGAAGAGTTACGTGTTCTGCCTGAGGATCTCATGCAGGGAGATGGGGAACATGATGGGCAGCGCAACAGTTCGGAATCACGGAGTGGAGAGGTCTGTGGGAGAAGAAAATTGGGACTGCTTGGACAAAGAGAGTGGGATAGGATACAAGTGCAAGGAAAGGCTGGAAAACCACCATCATAAGGTGAAAAGTTGGAGTAAGGGAAGAAGAAGGAAACTGGCTGATTAATAAAAATAAGTAAAATGTGGAGAAAGGCCAAGGGAGAAAAAAAAAAAAAGAGGGAGAATCTGGAACAATGACCTGAGCAAGGGAGATTGAAGTTACTTGAGCAAAGCCTGGAAATAAGATAGGACAACTTTTTAAGGGAGATTAGAGCTAAGCTAGCGAGTGTGACCAGGACTGAGGAAGTGATAAGCTGGAGGAAGAAAGGTCAGACCTGGAGAGGAACAGGTAGAAGAGGCTGCATAGACTAGAGATTATACCTTTCCTCTGCTGTCAGAAAATACCTGAAACATCTGGAAAAAGCACGAGTGCATTGTGCCAGCATGACCAAGCAGAGGGTAACAGCCTGCTACCGTCTGCAGTTACTTTATACGCTGAAGTGACAGGTGTGGTGAATTCAGGTGTCAGCACTGGTGCTAAACCAAAGGCGTATCACTTGCACAAAGGATAACACTTTGTTATTTTTAGCTGTTTCCTAAAAAATTAGGCATACTAATCATGCTCCATGTACATCCTTCTACTCAATCACCACCAGCAGTTTTGGGACCCGCTTGCCAAGTTCAACCACAGCTGCGTAGGGGTGGTGGAGTGAAAAAACTCAAAGATATTGCATTCCCAAAAGTTTTCATAAAACTAGTGGCTGGGAAAGATGAGAGACTGAGCCAAATCAGGCTGGAAGAGCAACTCATCTGCTGAAAGAAGGAAACGGAAGGAAATGTGCCAATCTTCAACTGACGTTCAACTGACTTTAAAATTCAAGACATATTTGTGCATGTGTTTAGGGCAACCATGCTCTTATTTTACATTTTCATTTCTACGTTTATGTGTATTCTGTATTTATCTCTTTTTCTGGGCTTACTCTAGCAATTGGATTCTTATAAGCATTGTCCTGCTCTTCCCATATGAAAGCCGGAGGGACTGTCCATTCTCGCTTCTGTCTCAGTAGGCTGTTGGGGTGAGACAACATGCCACTCTTGCCATTTCGATTATAAACCTGTGAAAAAAAAAGGTTGAATGTCAGCATTACATTTAGCCATTTCAGATGAGTATTTTATTGCTGCTATAGCCCAGATTTCTGAACAGCTTTTACTCTTTCAATACCTAGCAACTTCAAAATCGTGGAGCAACACTATCCTTCCAAGCCACAGTCTAAGAGCTGTATGTTCCTCAAGTTGGTTGAAAAGGAAAACTATACGAGTCTTTTCATCAAGACAGAATTAAGTAAGACAGGCTTTAAATACATGCGCAAGTTTGCATGAGCAGGGCTTGGTGAAAATACACCTGTTCCAGCTGATATCAGTGCTTGTCATCAGATGTGGGAAGAGGTTTGGTACTAAGGCTGTTTGAAACCATCATTTCTGCCTCATTACCCTGTTAGCATCAATACTGCATCAGACTCAACCCTCTCTCTGAAATCAGAATACATGAAACAGTAGGCCTCTATTCAACCCATCCACTGGCTCTGCTATCCTCGCTCAGTACCCCTCGTTCTCACTCTGCATGACACCCTTAGTCCTTCTGTCCAGCTCAGTCCCTTCTGTGTCTGTTGGCTTCCAAGTTAACTGGAAATGTTTCTACAATTAACATCTTCCATAAAATAACGGTTGATTTCATTACATGGAGTTAAAAAAAGATACCTACATATTTAATGTTTTAGGGGCAGTTTCTCAAAGTTGAATGCCACTCAGTTTGATGGATGTAGGAATCCATTCACTTACATTTCAGCTTTCATGGCATTATTCATTACACAGCTTTCATGTTTCAGAAGATGGTAAAAATCACAATATTTATTCAACTGAAGTAAAGCATGCCTTTGACACTTGCTCTTTGCTTAAGAACCCTTCTTCAGACACTGATAAAGAAAAGCAGTTTTCTATTATTTCCTACCTTCACATAGAGTCCATTTCCATAATTCAGACAGATCTGCAATGGAAGTTATGATAATCATTATTAATTCTAGGTCACTTTAGCCACACTAAAACTTAACTGACTCAACCTACCTCATAAGAAAAGCAAAACCACAAGGAAGAGGATATCTTATATCTATCAATTAATATTTACTATTTAGACATAATAGCTTCTGAAAAATTTACCCATAGCCATTCACATGAAAAACATACACTGTAATTATATCATTACTAGGTTTTGCACTTTTCTCCCAGCAGGAAACAGATAATAAGAAATTAATCTTTTTTTTTTTTTTTTGACTGAAGACTTTATAGTTATTTTTAAACAACCATTTCTTATTGCTGAGTAATGCTTCAATATTCCAAACCGATGGGAATTTGCCATTGATTGAATTAAGTGTTGGTTGCCAGCAGCACCCTGGAGAAACTCCCTCTCCTGGGCAAATCATGGATTATACAGGCTGTGGAGGGTCACCAACCACATCAGAGAACAAACCAGGTTAAATTACGTTTAAAAGCAAAGACTAATCAAAACATCTGCTGAAGTGTAATCAACAGAAGCAACTCTCTACTTAGCACCTTGCTGGGAGGATAAATGGCACATATACATCCCTTCCTTAAGCAAGGCGGAGACACGTGCATGCAAGCAAGCAAATCATGCTTGTTCTGACAAAACCTTGCATGCCCACATCCATTACTGGGACTGCCCATCTCTTCATGCACCAGGATAGCTATATATGCCCTTAAACACCTCAGTTGGGTGCCTCACCCTGGTTGGAAGGAACCGGAGCCTCAACCAGATTACCATAGACCTTGTGTTTATGTCCGCTCTGCACGCACCAAAGACTCTGCAAGTAGCAAAACCCCTCAAACAGTGCAAAAATGTACGCATTGGGAAACAACAACAAAAAGTAGGCTATTACAACTGTGAAACCACTAAATACAGCTTTTGAGCTTTGCATAGGTAGAGATTACTTTTATTGTTCTCGGCACTATTACATCTACCTACATTTTGCATCTTAGGTGATTTATTTTTTTTAATACTAATGCCTCAGGCAAAGCAGGCTCAGAAAAAGTGATTTCCTACTGATATTTCAGAGGATATTTCCTGATATTCTCTTTGACTGGTATTCTAGACTCTTGACTGGGCTCTCCTTATTCATCCCTCTGACTCAGCCTTGATTGCTGCATCGATGACAGCCTTTTTTTTTTTTTTTTTTTAAATATGTTATCTCTTTCCCCCACAATGCAGCAATGCGTGGACGGTGTTGAGCAATGTAGCAGACTGCTGTTTCGACTTGCACAACAGAACTGTTTTTCAAATGGCAATTTTCCCAATGTGTATATTCTGAAGACAAAAATCAGCGAGCACTAAGTTCCCCAACAGATATGCATTGTGAGGGCTACAGGATCTTACACCTTATACCAAGTTGTTTACATGAATATTTCCTAATCTTATTTGGTTTTATTAGTTATATGGGTTTTTAAAGTTTATTTTTTATGATTAATGACATTGTAGAAGCAAGAGTGACAGGAGGATTCTGGTTTATAGTCAGGGTTTTCCAACAGAAGCCGCAACTCTTTTGGAAGGTGAATAGTTGTCAAGATGTCATTCTGAACATCCTTGTCTGTTCTTGCTGGTAAAGTGAATGGAAAAGAGTTTCTGTCTCAATACTGGAGAGAAGAGGCACAAGGTGAGAAGCTTAGTTATATTGGAAACCACAGTATGAACAAAAGTGTCTGAACTTTAAGAAAAGCAAGTCTTCCACTGAGATGCGTATCAAGAAAGTGGAGAAAATCCCGCTAGTCATTATAAACAGGAAGTCTTTCATTAAGATAACTAAAAGTAAAAACCAATTGGTTTGCAAATGCTGCAAAGCAGCCTCAAAAGATTCTGTTTTATTGCTGAGACACTAAAAAAATACTTTTGCTTTTGTACTTTTCAATCTGTAGCCCACAGGCAATCTCATAAGGGACTTTATGACATCAATAAAAAGTGTTTAAGAGTGGCAATTTTATTTAGGAGATGTATAAATACATTTGGAAAAAATATATAAAGGGATCCTGCAGTTTTATTGCAAATTTTTAGAGGATGCAAGAATTTTAAAAAGGGGAAAAGTTCATTCAATGAAATTTTATTCAAGAAAAAGTGAAAAGTCACATATCCAACAGGTGTTGAATTCTGAATTTTCCCTTTTTTAACATCCTAGAGCTGCCTTCTATTAAACAGCTTAGTAAAGAGCAGGAAAGCCCTGTCTGTTGTTTGATGTGGAGCATAGCCTTGGCACAAAAAATAGATGTCTACTGATGACATCTGTTGATGACACAGAGCTGAGAAGGCATTGTCAGAAGACAACTGGATGGTTACAGAAAACAAGGTGCAAAACCAGAGGCCTGAAGTAATAGAAATGGAATGAAATACCACAGGAAAGCAGCAGGAGCAGGCGAGAGGGCAGGGGAAAAAGAAGGGAGTGACTGACGTGTATTGGGAGTGCAAGGCTGCTCTTGCCCAAATACATGTTCATGTATAGCCAGGAAGTGACTAAAGGACAGACTTTGAACACATAGCTTAGTTTTATAACATGAAGATACAGACAGAGCATGCAAGAAAGTATGTGTCTGCATTTGCTACACTATGAAACAGTAAGTCCTAGAAATGTGGTCTTTCCTGTATGCTGTGTCAGGAGATGTAGATCTCACACCTCCTGCAAGTCAGTTTGGTTTTGAAGACAATGGGCAAGTGATGATCTTCCACATGTAGAGAAGCAGGCTGAGGAGACCATGCAAGCTTATCTACTAGTCCATCTCCTGGCCCTGAGGCAGGACGAACTACACTAAATGCTTCCTGACAATGGTTTAACCTGTTCTTAAAAATGAGTGATGGCGGTTCCACAGCCTCATTAGCGAACCTTACAGATGGAAAAGTCTTTGTTAATTTTTATCCTAATTTTATTATCCTTATTTTTAGCGCTTTGCAAGTTGATCACATTGCTGTTTGAATGTGATTCAGTTTCAGATTAAGGCACACAAATTTACATGTCTAAATGAAGTTTAGTGCCTAAACTTCTGTTATACTCAACAGAAATACAGCCAATACAGACAGGGACATGAGAGAGCAGTTCATGTCACCCCAAAGCCAGCCCACATCTGCCATTTCTCTCTGGACTCCACTGACTATAGCTATGTCTACTTTGCAAGCCCAATACGAGAGGATTTGTTGCTGCTGAGAACCCAGCACTATACAAACCATATTTCGTGGTTGTTATTTCAGACTAAAATTAGCCTGGTCCCACCGACCAGACACCCACGAGTAGATGGATGCACCTCCCAATGCAGTTTCACCCAGGAGGGATCAGATTCACACACTCCGGAGATTTGCTTCGAAAGCACAATTTGATCCAACCAAACAGGTGCACCCTGCATCCACTGCATCTCCATTTACTCAAACACCTATACTGAGATGTCTTAATCTCAAACCGAATCTCCCTCTTTGCCAGGTTGGTAAAGCTCTCTTTGAACAGTGTAATTCCCTTTTCTTCACAATTACCCTTCATGTATCTGAAAACTTATCATGCATCTTACCCATTTTCTTTTCTCAGTTCCTAGTTCTTTAATCTCACTTCAAGAATCATAAAACAGGATTTCCTGAATTTAGATTGCATTTTTTTTGCTTTCCTCTCGTCTCTCCTGGGTGGAATTCACTTTGTTCTGAAATCTGCTGTCCAAAATAATACATCACTAGTTCAATCGGATGGATAAAATATTGGATCTTATGTATTCCTCACTTGCTTTCGTATCTCACCATAGCACTGTTTACCCCCCTTTTCAGAGCAATATTAAGTTGTTGAATCAATGCACAGATGCTTGTAAATATTTTTACCATGTTTCAACATGTTACTGGCCACAGAAGCTAGGCTGCTTTCAATTCTCTCGCCTTTGCTCTTTCTAAAACTAAGCATCATGTTTTGGTTGGGTTTTTTTTTTTAAGTTTAACTTGTTTCTATGAGTTTTGAAAAGTAATTGCTACTGGCTCTGACATTACAATAGTGATCTAATGTAT